AGGTTTTTAAAAATATTTTTATAAATTTTTATAATATTTAAATAATTATTAATAGAGTTATATTAAAAAACCAATTTTAAAAAACTATGAATCACCCAGTATATCATTATAATTTTTATTAATAATTAAATTTATAAAAATATTATATGTCTATATTAACTATTAAATTATTTAAATAATATAACAATTAATATTTACAATTAAATATTAACAATTGGATTTTTTAATTTGTTTATAAAACAATATAAGACAGTATTTAAATATTTATTAGCATTACTCAATAATCTAAATAAAAATAATTTAAACATGTAAATAAACAACATTGCTTTTTATAAAAGCATAAAGGTATTTGATTATTTTATAATACAGTATTAACTTAAGAAAAGTAAATTTTAATACTAATAAAGCTCAATAATATAATTATTAAAGAATTTTTATTAATAAGTTTTACTAATAAGTTTTAATAAAAAATAAAATTTATATATATTTTAAAATATTTAAAATATTTAATACAGGATAAAGAAATAAGATAATTAAATAATCAAATAGTTTTAAAATTTATTATAAAAAATGATAAAAGTATTATACATTCTTTTTTAATAGATTATTCATTATATTTTGTACTACGTTATTATGTAATTATAAATATTAAAATCCTTATTTTATAATAAATAAAAAATAAGAAATTATCAAATAAAAAGAAATTTATTTAAAATCAATTTTGAACCAATTTCAAATTAAATAGAATATTCATATTATTCAAAAAAAAGCGACAAAAAAGCTTCTGAATCAATTTAGCATATAATAAGCTAATTATACTGGACAAACTGAAATAAGAAAGCTCTGGATTTACAAGATAAACAATAAATATAAAGTGTGCAATATTAAACAAGAAACAAGAAATTACTGATTCAAATAGGCAGATTAAAACAATTACCAGCAAAACATGGCCTGTGGCTATAAAAAAGCTTTAAAAAAGTCTAATAAAACAATGCCAAATAAAAAATTAATTAATTATTATTTAGCATTAACTTTAAAAATCTATATACTTTAGCTAACTCAAAAAAAGGGGGGGGGAGAATAAATTTTACAATTGAATTGATACGAAAGATCTAATAACAGAAACCAGATATCATATAACAAAAAGCATGTTACATCATTTAAAATCTGATAGTTACGTTGCAAAGTTGACTTAGACTTCTAAAAAATTTTAGGAAACGAATGTGGAAATACAGATGTGACAATGAAACAAAATTATGAGCCTGGATCTAAAAATAAAAAGGCTTCAAGACAATCCAATCAAAGAAAATGACAGTAAAAGATTATTTTGATATGAATTTATGGTTTTATAGATGTATTTGTTGTGCCAATCTTTATGTAAAAACTTTTAAATATTTGTCAAATTAAATAATTTTTCTATTCTTTTGTCATATGATATACAGTATAATATAGACATAAAGTATCTTGTGAAAATTATTGAGTTACGTGTATATAAGATCAGATAAACTTGGTGGAATAACGCGGTCTTCGACATTCACATTCGAATTATCCCAGAACCACATTTCCGAGTTTTCACTCTCGGGAATTATTCCCCAGCTTTCTGATGCCTTTTCACCCATCCACAATTCCAAGATTCCACCATTGGAAATGTCTCTATGTCTAAACCATGTTTTTCTCCATTCAATTCCATTTAACCTTGCTCTCTGGATATACATGTTGGTTGAAGTTAGGTTGTGTGCTAGGATTTGGAAGGTGGAGCCGGTGACAGAGAGATCTATTATTGTTGAATTGAAATGTGGGGAGTTTATGAGGTAGATATCTTGACCGGCTCTGTTATAAAAATTAAGGATAAAAATTAAATATAAATAATGTGTTAGAATAATTAAGAGAATAAAAACGATACGTTTTGTAATTAGCATGCTTACACAGGATATATTCCGATGGCATGAAAAGCGAACCAACTTCCCATTGCTCCCGAATCGTCATTTCCTGGTTATTAATAACGATTAGAAAACAAGACATTGTAAATGAGTTGTCATGAATATTTACCGGGAATATCACCGGGTCCCACTCCAAATCTCATCTCCAGAATATCTCTTATCAATCTTACGCTCTTGTGTTGTTTCCCGATGAAGTGATATAAACACGGATGAAAAAAATCAGGTTCATTTCCGATATTATATAAGAGAGTGAGGTAGGCGTTTTTCATTGAAAGAGTTTTGTTGTTGAGTGGATACCTTGCAGAATGAAATGTTTTATCGAGACGATCTTCGAAAGCAAGCGGGCCACCAGAAAGATTAACTAGCTGACGGACGTCTTCATACAAAAAAAAAAGGTAGGCATGAGGTAAGACGCAATATATTGACGGGGTCGAAAAATCAAGTGTGCATCGTGTGGAAAATACCATGCATCACGTCTAAACTATACTCCCACGCAGAACCTTCATAGTAGGGTGTATAGCCTTTAATATTGAATACGTTCCATGATGTATCAAATGATCCATTTTTGAAGCGAGGTAGGATGAAGCCTCTAATGCCTTTCAAAGTATATAATATAGATAAGAGGCAAGCAATTTTAGATACTGTCCATGCCGTTAGAATAAGGTTCAAACTAGGAAAGAGTAAAAGGACAGAGGATACCGTCAACTTCTTTGTTCGCACACCACAGATTTTCCCAATTTCTTGCGCGTTCACCGTACTTTCGATAATCCTCGGTTCTATTCATCCCTTTCAATACAAGGTAATAAATGTACGAGTTATTCAATCCGCGCATCTTATATCCATATTGACAAAGAAAACGAAAGAAACCAACCCTTAGCTACTAATGCAATTGACCAATCGTTAGTTGCGTATTCCAAAGTTCTACTACATGGCACGTAAGCATATCTGATCTCATAATTATCAGGCGTGGGAATATACCGAAACCGCTTATAATCGGAGAGATACATTCGGCCTTCAAATAGACCTCGATAAAATGGATCAACCTCAGCATCTTTTAAAAGGGCATCATAAGCTACTGTCCAGTTTATAGGAGAGGGTTGGTTATTATATGAAAAGGATGAAAGGTTTTTAAGGTATATTTCTGACTGCGGTTAATAGAAAAGAGGATAATGGTCGGTAAACATTATTCTGTAAAAAACGATATAAAGTACAGTATACAATTCGTTTGTACGCTCTACTCACTATCACCATGTCACAGTTGGAGCCACCCTGGGTAATACCATTTGACATTCCGCTACGACCATCGGGCATGTAGCCTTCGTGTTGATAAATGTCAATTAGCGATTTTGCAATGTCGATGACGCGATGTTGTTGGAAGAGCGTGAATAACGGAATTGAAGATCTGGAATTCGCAAAAAGAATAAGTCGCGAGAATTTCACGGATGATGACAAGGAATTTGGACTGAGTATATAATTGCCTAAATGTATCCCACTAAATTTCAAAAGAAAATTTTTTAAAATAAAATAATATACGTATTGCAGACAAGCAGCAAAAGAATATTCTTACCAATGTATAAAAATCATCATAATTTGGTACAATATTTCCTTCGCTGTCGTAAGATGTCCACTTTGGATTTTCCCCTGTTCTGTGTTGCAAAGGTAATAAAGTTATATTGAAAACTTTCCATATATTACGAAAATAAACATCAACTCACCGATCACTAGGCATAATCATGGTCCTATAAATTCCCGAGTAAAAAATCTTTTTCAAGTTATTCCTCACTTCACCTTTAACCTTGATTTTTTTCAATTCGCGTTCCCAAGCATCAACTGCATGTTTTTTGGTTTTCTCAAAATCCCAATTGGGTATCTCCTCTTGTGCGTTGAGGCACGCCTGCTTTGCTGATATGAAACTTATTCCTACTCTACTTTTCACGACAAGTTCTTCATTACTTCCGCAATTTTCAGTCTCATCGCTTTTACAAGAACTATTTTCTAAGTTAAAGCTCATCAAAGCACCAGTAGGCACACGATCGTAAGGAGCGTTATACGAATTTACAAATGTCACATTCGAACTCACCATACCATTCCACCAGGTGGAATATTTACTGGCTTTCTGATCAAATTGTGAACAAAAGTAGACTTTATACTCGATACCCTCATTCCACCCGCCGGCATATAAGCCAACACCAGTAATTTGCGTGGGCGTCAGTGAATAAATTGTGCCTCCCAAATATCGAGAACTTTAAGAGCTCGTTAGTAATTCGAGAATTGGAGAAGGGAATATAATATAATATAATATAACGGCTTACCTTCCACCCTGAGTTAAAATATGACTTAAATCTAGAATTACATGTGCATCCACCTTCTTTCCATCGTTTTCGATAGGGAACGTGTATCGATGTAACGCAGCCCTTCGCGATGCCGTCAACTCAACCGTCACATTATATCTTTTTAACCCAAATCTCATGTACCCAACCTCAAAATGCTCAAAAGATCGAGGAGACTTGTAAATTCGATAGTTTAATTTTAGGGGAAATGATTCTCGCGAATATGAAGTTAGGTGAGAAGGCGAAAAGGTGGTTATGGGGAATTGAGAAATGACACCGTATTTAGGTTCGCCTATTTTGTGAGCGAGAATAAGTTAGATAAATTGGTTTGCAATAATAACCTTTAGGAGTCACCTAATTAGTTATTACCTCCTGTTCCGCTAGCATGCAAATCTTAAACAGAACAGAATTGCAGTGAAAATTCGTAATGCTTTAGGAGAGAGAAAAATGTGCAAGTATGGCTTACGAGTAATTCCAGTAATATTTCCGTCCACAGTATATCTATGAATAATCGGAAATCAATACAAAAAGAAAAGAAAAAAAACATCCTTCGAACTCGCGCATACCCTGCTTGGTTGTCTTTAAGATTATCCGTGTCAAATCCAACTTTGACGACTCCATACGGGTGACAAGGCCCCGGAAATACATGGCCCTCTTGGTTGCAATAATTCATTCCATCAACATATAATATACCTCGTAAATTAAGATGATATCCAGAGAAGCGTAAAGAAATTCGTACCGTTTTGCGTTCCGATCAATGGATCGACATAATCTGTAAGCATTTCTTCCCGATTATCCTCACCAGGAAAGCTGGTTTTTGAATTTTTAAAAAAGCCCTTGAATTTCTTATTTTCCGTCTTTATGTCATGTTTTGGAGACAATAATTTCGCTTCGGCCATATAATTTGGATTTACTGCGCATTGTGAATTTTTTGGAAAATTTATAAAATCAATGAATAAGAACACGAGCATAACGAGGACAAAAAATTTTATGGATAAAATGGTGTCCAAGTAAAGTTTTATCATCTTTGAGAATTTTTTGCAAACAAGAATTAGAATAACGAGAGGAGAATGCAAGAATTATTATTTCAGCGACAGAATTAATGGAGGTTGTCGGAAAAATCTTGGCTAGCATTTTTTTTTTCGTAAAGCTTGGTTACAGTATTAAAGCTTATGATTATGTAGTTATAGAATTCAGTATCGTTATAATTATTTAGACTCGATTAGACTAAATTTAACTTTACTATCTTATTTCTACTGCAATATCGTCATCTTTAAACTCTCTAAAAGCAACGATTGATTTTTGATCAGCTAATCAGTAAATAAGCTGTTGACTTGCAAATCAGCTATATTAAAATATGTATTTATCAGATATTTACACGTATTAGAAGATACAGTACAGTAACGAAAATTTTCCATCAATTAAATCATTAAACCCAAGTGAATTCAATACATAATGCCTCGTTAAGGCATCACGCCAACTTAATTTTTCATATTCTGGTCAACTCGTCGTAACCCTCCATCTGTATTATCAAGATTGACCGCGGCCTCTGACTCGAGGTATTTTTATTAATGTTCTCTCCATTCATGATTTTCCCTTCATAGTCGTAATCGTTATGATGGTAATAATAGTCTTTGTAACTTTCGGCGTTTAACTTTTGATCGTCGACAAGGTTATCGTTATTTCCAAATTTCTTGCGTGTTATTGATATATTAGATGAGTTGATGAATATGAGGTTTGTATTATCTATCAGATTTGCCGGCGAAAATAGATATTATTAGATTACAATGATCCGTGATCCAAGAATCTTATAATAATTTACCTTTGAAGTCTTCAAATTTTATATCGCTCTCATCGAACATCTGATGATTTCCTCCCATCACGTTACTCTGCTTTGATTCCTTCGTCGGCGGTATTGTCACAATAGGGCTTTTGTATGTGTTCTTTTTATTAATGACAAATTTAAGAATTAGCATGCAGTTTGAAGGATTTGTTGTATATTTGATCATCGGCTTTTCCAAAGGAGGAAAAAACTCAAATATTGCTGACACTATAGACACATATTTCTCGAAAGACCAGGGATCCAAGAAGTTCTCTATAGGGAATTATTCTGAAAATCAAAGCAAAACATACCTGCTCCAAATTTTTTCTGACAGCATGGTAAATTACTATTGGTGCGGTGATTGAAACTGATAAAATTCCAGCAGATATCGCAACTATAAACTCCGTTATTATCAACATTTTTGTTTTTAAAGGCGTACTTAAAAAATATACCAATGTGTGTATCAACTGTCGTACGGTATTATAATATTATGAAGAGAGCTTAATTTATTTAAAGCGACAGGAACGAGATATTTATGAGTGTGCAGGTGTTTTTATAAAAAAAAAATTCTTTGATGTTCAAAAAAAGGAGCGTGTCCTAAATATATTAAGAAATAATTTTGTAGACAAAAAAGGTTTAACCACATGTAAACGAAACACTATGACTTGCGATACGAAATAAACGAGTTTGTTACCTGTTCCAAAAGGAGAATAAAAAGACGTGCACAAATGATATTCCGGAATTATTTGTTTTTGCAAATAACACTTCTTAGATTTTACTATGCCTACTTGTAGAGAAGCTTTCTTCACGTCATGCTAATCTGCGTCTGATCGTCTGATGTGTGCACAGTACGTAAGTTTCTCTGATCTGACCACTCAGAATTTATATCTTACTGTGTTTTTTCCTTCTTCAGCTTAAAGTTAATCTGTGCAACCCTAATGCAGATTTGGGAATTCCAAAGTCTTGAACGTACGTACGTATGTACCTGTTAATATTAAGGCTGAGAACACATGCATTTAAGGCGCAATGAATTTAAGCCAAGTGCTTATATATATGTAAGGTCGGAAAATATCAATACAGTATACTGTAAACAAGAATCGAAATGCATCGATACTAAGGAAGCACATACATGTAATTTCGTGTTATGCGATTGTTTCAAATTTCCTCTGGCGTTCTAATAGTACAAGTCAAACTTGGAATAACGAATATAATGCATCAATAGATAATGCTTGCATCTAGGAGAAGAATTGTTGCTTCATGAACTTACGATTTCTCCTGTCCAAAGAAAAGCGATGCTGTATAGTAAGTTTCGTGGTAACAATAACGCAATTTTATGTTGCACCATTACGTACTTGGCTTTTTTTTTTCAAGATAGTCAATTGTGAGGTATTTGTGTTACTTTGTGTGCATTATGCTGTTCTGCCGTTGGTGCTTACTTCGAATGATTGCTTTTTTTTTTTTTACAAAATATTGTATTCATATTCATTGAATATTCTTTATGCAGAAACAATAACCGCAGCTTTATGGAATATCTATCCGGAACTGTGATGTCATTTGGAAATTATGACTTCCATGCAACCGTTGCTCCGAGGGTTTGTCCGTGATGATATTGTTACAAACTTTGTTATTAGCGCCTGACCCTCAAAACTACAGGCAGAACACAAATAAAAATGCCCGGATTCTAAAGGCCTGAAATTTTTGCTTTCAAACGAATCGAAGAATATTTTAATCTTTAATACAACTTCTCAGATCGGATCTTCGGGGTTTATTTTTTTGCTTTAAGCCAATTAAGGTAGATTAAAGTGTGTAGTGATGTGATAATAAACGCAAGCTTCGTTAGAGACATGCTATGACTTTCGGTCACTTCTTCTTTACCTCTACTGCTCAGGTAAGATACTGTACATCCCGGCATTTCATTTTCTGCGCATGGATAAACATTTGAGTAGGTTTATTGATAGTGGAACGAGAGTTTATGAAACATAGGATATACTGTATAGGTGTCAAAACAAATTTTAAATCTTCATTACATCATGTAAAAAATTATTTTTTATTATTAATTTAATTTCTGATCAATGTATAAAAAAAAAATTATTTTAAAACAAAATATGAAATCAAGCACAAATTATTTATTCTATTTTCTTTAAAAATTAAATACTATTAATTTATAAAATTTGATTTTATTTTAAATGAATAATAAAATAATAAAATAATTAATTAACTTCATTTTATTTAAATAATGATATGAAAAAAAAAAGATATTATTATTTCCATAAATATCATTAATTAATAACAAATGAACATATTTTTATTAAGAAGTTTCGATTATCATTGCATATTTACACAGATTCGAAATTCCAAAAAAAAAAACATTATGTCAATGTTTATAATAAAATGTTTTTGTGCAAGTTTTTTTAAGTATAATTTTGGAATTCCATTATGTCGCATCTCCGTCATGCCAAGTTTCACTAAATATCTAGTGTTTTGTTTAGGAATCAATCAAGAACCAATCAAAAAGGTGTCTTCGGACTTTGGATATAATAGGTTTATAATCAGGAATATTTGTCTTCGGATGGATTGATTATAACACATCATTGATACTCATTACAGTACTAAGTAAGGATCAGCAATTCCTACATCCACGTGTGGATGGCTCCATCAAGCAATGCCCGTAGGAAGATCCCGCGGGCTCCGTTTACATCTCTGTCCATAACCATATGACAGTTTCCGCGTTTATAAAATCTTCTTCTATCGATGTTTTGTATGTTCCCAAAATAGCTGCAGGTCTTGGAGGTGTACACCTCATCCTGGATAATTACCATCATGCCTGTTTCCTCGGCCTTGTGTTTCAGCCGCTACCGGAATGCATAATGTGACCAGGTAAGCATGCAGTCATCAATCCGGAACTAGGCTCACCTTATGCTGGTACGTAGGGGTCGTGTCGCTTGCAATATCAAAGGTACTTGTGGGCACAACAATTATCTAATTTTCCTTCTTCCCGCTTATCTCTGTGGCTCAATCATTCACCAATAGGCATGATGGCTATCACTAGATTCTTAAGGTAAGTTTATTAAATATGCTGCGAGTACAAATGGTTACATTCACTACTTTAATCCTACTTCTATTTATATTAATCGTGACGCGTCTACCAATCTAACGTCGCGTCATGCAAATTCCAACAGGCTCCCGATGCATGAGCATCGCGCTATGTCACATGACCCATGCCGATCTCGTCCCTCCTACCATTTCTCCTGATTGAAAAAAAAGGATCTTATGATTGTAAACAATTAGGCATTATTAAGCAAATTAATTTGATAGATTACTAAGCAATCGATATTGTTCGGCATCTGCCATTATAGTAACAAATTTGCTTTTTTCTATAGATGTTCCATTAAACGCAGTAATTTTCGGATATCTCCGAAAAATCATTAATACTATAGAGCGGATACACTGCAAAAATAAAGTCCGGTGTGAGCAAACATACCAGTATTCTATATTATTACTAAAACAATAAATTAATTTTAATTTAATAAAAATATTTACTATAGTCAATATTTCTTTAAAAAATTTAATAAATTAAAATCATTTTATCAAGAATATTGCAAAAATAATATATATTTTTTTTTAATGTTAAGTGAGGCATTTCTCGTGATCTTTATTAATAAAGTAATTGAACAATTACATGATTAATATTAAGATACTAAGATACATCATTATATATGTCAGCCTACCACCATTCTAAGTATATTTCTGT